GAGGGAGGGAGGGAGAGGGAGAAGGGCTCCTCAATCCACGTCCTCCTCCTCCTCGTCCTCCTCCTCTTCCTTTTCCTCCTCCTCCTCCTCCTCCTCGTCCTCCTCCTGCTCCTCCACCTCCCTCTCCTCGTCCTCCTCCTCCTCCTCCTCCTTCACCTCCTCCTCCTCTTTCTCCTCCTCCTCCGCCTTCTCCTCTCCTCCTCCTCCTCCTCCCTCTCTCCTCCTCCTCCTCTCTCCTCGTCCTCCTCCTCCTCCTCCTCTCCCTCTCCTCGTCCTCGTCTTCGTCCTCTTTCCTCCTCCTCATCCTCCCTTCCTCCTCCTCCTCCTCCTCCTCCTCCTCCTCCTCCTCCTCCTCCTCCTCCTCCTCCTCCTCCTCTCCCTCCTCCTTCTCTTCCTCCTCTTCCTTGAGTCTGTAATTAATGAGTTTGGCCTCTTGGGACCCTCTTGGGACGCCCCTTGGGCGCCTCCTGGGGGCCTCTTTGGCTGTCTTGGGCGGTCTTGGGCTCTCTTGGAGCGCTCTTGGGCCATCTTGGGGGGGAAACCCGATAAACATGCAAAACCCGATGGAAAACTGCCAGAAACAGCGGGGAGCCCGAAAAACATACAAAAACCCGAGAGAAACTGCCAACAACGGGAGGGGAAACTCGAAAAACATGCAAAAACCCAATGGGCAACGGCCAAAAAGGAGGGAAACCAGAAAAACATGCAAAAGCCAGAGGGGAAACGGCCAAAAACGACGGGGGGCACCGTAAAAAACATGCAAAAACCAGAGGAACAACTGCCAGAAAGGGTCAATCCGCCAAGCAAAAAGCATTTGCAATCAGGCGGCCATGGTCCCTCGCGTCTTAATTCTTTATTTATCCTTGAAAAGCTTGGCCTAACAAACTGCGAGCACTTTCTCGTTCCGAGAAGGCGCTTCCCGTAATCCGCCAGCGAAGTTCCGGCTGCAATCCGCGTCCATTAGTTAGAAAAATACAAAAGAACCAACGGTCCACGCCGGAAGCGCTTCCCGTCATCCGCCACCGTGCTCGCACGGAGTGGCCGTGTTAGAATGCTCGTCTGTTGTATGGAAGGATTTTTGAAGTTTTCTCAGGCCGACGCTCCCCCCCGCCCCCAGTCAGCACGCGTCCCTAAAAAACGCCCCTTCGGACGGACTTTTCAGCTTCCAGACGGCCAAGATGGCCTCCAAGACGGCTTCCAAGACAGCCAAAACGACAACGACACGGCTCAAGTTGGGCCAAGAAAGCCCAAGAACTGATCAAGACGGCCTCAAGACAACCCGAAAGGCGCCGAAGAGGGACGGCCCCAAAGGCCCTCAAGACGCCCCAAGAACCTCCGAGAGGCTACCAAGGAGAGTTAAAGGAATTTGAGGTTTTCGCCTGTTCGGGATTCCGACCACCCAAGACGGCCCAAGAGGTTTCCAATCTGTTTCCAAGATAGTTCCAAGACAGCCCGGGATGCCCTCAAGAGGTCCCCCAGGGGACGGCGAGGTCCCGAGGTGATCCGCGTAGGACCCACCTCCGCTGGGCCTCCCAGGAGCCCACGAAAGTGGCGACACTTGCGCAGATCGCAAGCCCTCCAGGGGACGGCGAGGTCCCGAGGTGATCCGCGTGGTGCCCACCTTTGCTGGGCCTCCCAAGAGCCCACGAAAGTGGCGACACTTGCGCAGATCGCAAGCCCTCCAGGGGACGGCGAGGTCCCGAGGTGATCCGCGTGGTGCCCACCTTTGCTGGGCCTCCCAAGAGCCCACGAAAGTGGCGGCACTTGCGCAGATCGCAAGCCCTCCAGGGGACGGCGAGGTCCCGAGGTGATCCGCGTGGTGCCCACCTTTGCTGGGCCTCCCAAGAGCCCACGAAAGTGGCGACACTTGCGCAGATCGCAAGCCCCCCAGGGATCGCAACCCCTAGGCAAGGCCACCCAGCAGACAACACGGCGAGGCAATCATCAGGAACCAGACGGCAGGAGAGCACAGAAGGCAGAGGGCGGGAGAAGGAGGGTGGAGACCACACTGCTTTATCCCAAGCGAGTACCCAACACAGGAAGGTTGGGAACAACAAGACGGCCCAGAGATGCCTCTTGTGCTGTCTTGGGCGGTCGGAACCCCAGACATGCTGGAACCGCAAGATCTAAATGGATGTGGCGTCCTCGGACTCTCCTGGATGGCCTCTTGGAGATCTCTTGGGTCGTCTTTGCGGCCTCGTGAGTTGTCTTGAGGCTATCGTGGGAGCCTCATGACCTCCAGGACGGCGTTCAAGGCAACCAACATGGCACCAATATGGCTCAAGACGTGCCAAGGGGATCCCAATACAACCCACAGACGGAGAGCCCGAGGAGACCGAAGCCAATGGTCTTCCGCGTGTGCTTGACAGGTTTTGAAATTCTCGCCTGTTCGGGTGCCCGACCGCCGAATACGGCCAAAGAAGCCTCCAAGATGCCTCCAAGATAGCGCCAAGACAACCCAAGAGGGACCGCAAGAGGGTCCGAGGTCGGCCCAAGAGGACCCAAACATCGCCTCAAAAGCTCCCTAAACGGGCCCCAAGACGGCCGTGAACCGCCCCAAAAAGTCACCAGCGCGGCCTAGAGAGGTACCCAACGCGGCCTCCATAAGCGTCAGACGGGCCAAACGCCCCCTGAGACAACCCAAGAAACCACACAATGTCCCGTGAGGCCCGCAAGATGCCCCCACGACGCGTTCAAGGAGCTCCCAGGAGGCCCCCTGGAAGCCCCAAGGAGCCCCCTAAGAAACCTTCTCATCCTCAACTCATCATCAGTCTCTCCCTCGTCCGCCTCCTCCTCCTCTGCTCCTCCTCTTCCTCCTCCTCCTCCCTACCGCGCGGGCGAGACCGAGGTCGGGATCACGGCCCGCCGCAATACAGACTGTTTGTCGGAATTGCGCTGTTCCTACACTCAACCCTTTTCCTGATGTGCTGTTGCACAGGCACGGTGGCGGGGCTTGCAGCAGACAGCTGGATACGTAGTGAGTAACTAGACTCACCATGAGACACAACTCGATAAAAAAATCAGATCAACGATTAGATCGTTGTCCCGTGTTTGTCCTGTGGTTGTCGAAGAAGTGTCCCAAGGTTGTCAGGCGGCTATCTCACGGGCGTCCCGCGGTTGTCGCGTGGTTGTCCAACGGTTGTCCGTGGTTGTCTCGTCGGTGTCGCGGTGGGTGAAGCGTGGTTGTCCCATCTATGCACAGATAGTCAGACATATGCATACTTTGTATACGAAAAGCAAGTTAGTTATACCGATAATTACTGTGACCTCGTGTGTTTTGTTCGGAAATGGGATCGATGCGTGGATAGTGCGTGGGATCACTCGAAATTGAGATATATGGGTAGACATCGAGATCGTGTGATAGATCGATCGCAAATCCGACCCGACGCCATTCCCCCCACACTCCCTATCAACCGAAGGCTGGTCAGAGAGGCATATCAATCTGATCGTTGCTCTTCCTTGTCATTGCTGTGGGCGTTCAGGAAGTACCCTGTTGGGACCCCACAGCAATAGGACTGAGGGAATCGAAGGACAAGCCTGAGGAGCACAGGAGCACACAACACCATGTCTAAATTTAGAGCGTTGCCTTTCGCAATCCGCCACGGTGCGCAATGGCACCTTGAGGCGTGGTGAAACGCCAAATACAGTGTGGCACACGTTCGTTAAGTCCTCTAAGGCCCCCCCCCATTCGTCTTCTCACACTCAGTTGCATGCATTGGCCTTCTCTCCCAAGGCCTCCTGCGCGGCCCGATGGCTCCTGGGCTATCCAGGGCACTTCGAGGCTTCCAAGACGGCCCAAGAAGGCCACAAAGGCCACCACGATGGCCAAACATTGCCCCAAGACGAACACAGTAGCCCCTTACGTAAGAAGCGCCAAAGAGGTCCCAAGATGCTTCCCTGAAAGTACAAGGCACCTCGATACGCAATCGAAAGTCCAGACACATTGATTTCCTGATGTGCTTCCATGTTTTAGCTTTCCACTCTCTTCGGTCGAGCCTCGCTCCACATGTGGCCTTCGAAAGACTCACAGGACCCACCGAGAGCCCAAAGAGGTCCCCTGGACGGCCCAAGACGTTCCCAAGGGAGCCCTAAGCTGGCCCAAAAGAATCTCCAGAGGCCCCGAAACGGCCCTGGAGGGCCCCCAGACGACCCCACGCAACAATGGCCCCACGACGGCCAGGAAAGCCCCAGGACTGCCAAAGAGAGCTCTGAGCAGACCGAAAAGGGCTCCATGAGACCCACAATAATGGCCCACAAGAGTTCATGATAGCACCAAGATGACAAACATCGGCTCAATGAGAACTCCTCAACCAGTGGAGACGATGGATATCACATACGACGGCCTTCCTGGGCGGTGCTCGCGGGATTCCCTCATACAGTTATTCGCTGACAAGGGAGCGGATTTACTGCATGCATCTGGATAAGCAACTACAGAGCTGAAACGACTCCCTGGAGGCAAGAACTCGACACCCCAACCGTCTTGATATTTCGAATACGAGATCGACTGCAGATTCTCTGGACCCGAAAATTGACAGACTAGTCGAACCGATGGAAACACACGCATGATGCTTGTATGACTCATAGATCCGACGGAAAAATACAATTCTGGAGTAAATCACTTTGTAGTCGATCTTCGACTCGAATCTTTCCAAGGCGACAGGGGTCTGGGCTCGTTGGGCCGCAGGTCGGGCCCGAGAGGGGGCCGCTCGGGACGGTTGCGGCGCCCTGCGAATCTCCCTCGACGAGGCGCAGCTGCTGGGAAGGATCCGAGGGCTCGAAAGCAAAGAAATGCGAGTCCCAATAATCTGCACCACCACCACCACGTCGCCTGCCTCTCTCTCTCTCTCTCCTCTGTCTTCCTCTCCCCGCTCCCAAGAAAGGGAGGGGATGAGGGAGGTGGTGGCGGTGTATGTCATCCGGCCCCGCAGGAAAACCAACGAACACCTGCGGTCGTTCGACTGTCTCGCGCTCCTTCCGCGCTCCTCCCGCGCAGCAGCGGCCTCCCGCGACATCCGGTTGTACCACGGGTCTCGCCCGGGCCCGAAGCGCAGCAGGCAAGCGGGGAGCGCCACCACGGCGACCACGATGGACAGCATGGTCACGGCTGGCAGGCCGACTCTCTCTCGGGCCGAAGGGGAAACGGGCCCGCCTGATTGCGTAAAAGGGCCAAGCCAGGAGTTCGATGAGGCATCCATCTCAAAACGAATCTGGATTTCCAGGCACCTCCGCCCGCTCCTCCTGACCCCTTCCCCCCTTCCACTGAGAAGGAAACGTCACCCCGCGCGCTTGGGATCAAAGCGATAACGAGATGGAGGGGGTGAAGGAGAGCTGGTGATTGTAATGACGTGGCATGGCTCGGGGTCGACGACAAGGGCTGCAAACAGCTGAGACCCCGTCGCCTGCTCCGATCTTTCAAACTGGCATCCCATGCGGTAGATTTTGCCACGCGGGCATGTCTTCTGTAATTACTGGGATTCCCGATACATCGAATGTTCCAAAGCAGCGTCGTGGTGTTGAAATCATGTCGTGGCGATGTCGTGCTCACGCGTCGAACGGCAGTCGATGTCGCAACACATCGCATGCCAGAAATTCCCAGCCCTCTCTGTATTTTTTCCTCTCGCACGGCTGGGTCTGGAAGCCGGGACCGCTTTTAGGCACAGAGCTGGGGGGGCCGTGCCTTTTCTTGTCGGGGGAGGGGGTGAGGGGGGGGGCGCGCGGTCTCAGAATTCGATGCGCGAGAGGATGCGGAGGATGAGACTAGAAGTGAAAGGGCCAGGATGTGAAAACACTGATCGGCATTTCAAATAATAGAAATGCTTAACACGAAAATAACACGGGCACGGAGGCTGCAGTATCCGCACCCACAAAAATTTATCCCAGTGCGATTCTACCTAGGAGTTGGAGCATCTAGGAAAGCAACATTTACATCTACACCGCGCTAAGCTATACTATGCTATGATACGCCATGTTGCGCTATGATATGCTATGCTATGCTATGCTATGCTGCGCTATGATATGGTATGGTATGATATGTTATGCTGCGATGTGCTATGCAATGATATGATATGATATGCTGCACTGTGATATGCTAAGTTGTGTTATGATATGATATGATATGATCTGATGCGTTATGATATGATATGCTATGATATGCTATGCTATGCTGCGCTGTGATATGTTGCGCGATGCTATGCTATGATGTGCTATGCTATGCTATGCTGTGCTAACGTTGCGCTGCGCTGCGCTAAGCTAAGCTGAGCTAAGCTAGGCTAGGCTAGGCTAGGCTAGGCTAGGCTAGGCTAAGTTAAGCTAAGCTAGGCTAGGCTAGGCTAGGCTAAGCTAAGCTAAGATGAGATACGCAAAGCTAAGGTAAGGGGGCGCAACTGGGGGACACGCGGGGCGGGGACCGGGGGAACCGCCCGGGGCGTGGTCCACTGCCCGGCCCCTTTAAGCTAACAGAGTACGAACCCTCTAGGCAGCGCCTCGGTAGGGAATAAGCGGCAGCGGCGGGAGCGAGACAATTATGTAAGGCAGCGGTCAATACTATACAATGAGTAACCGTTCGCATGTGGTGCTCAAACCAATTAAAACCAATATGCTACTGCCGTTCCGGTTCTGGGGTGCAAGCCACACCCGAACCAGCGAGGCAAAAGGATCAGCCAAAATCATTATCTCAACCGTGTGCCTCATGAAACTGCACAGGAGATGCAGGCTGGCACGGAGGATCCTCCTCTGACCAGGTCCCTAATACCGATGACGGGCGGCAGAACATTCGGTTTGAACAAGCAATCGCCCACCTGCATGTTCTCCTGCCCAGACCCTGCTTACCCGCGACTATAGTTCGCGGTGAAAGCCCAAGCCACTGGCATGCCTCATATTTTATTATAGTCTCATTGGCAGCTGCGAACCCACGCACATAGTGCAATATACCCGGGCTACTACATCCTCGCTTCTCCCTGATGGGTTGCGTCGCGTTATGGAACGCAGCTCGCTATAACCGAGTCGGCCGACGCATTCGCGAACGCAGTTCGGACATGCGACGCCGAGTGGGTTGCCCAGAGGCGTCGTCTATGTCCTTGTTGAGGTTGCTGCGTCGGGAACTCGGCACCGTCTTCTTGCGCCGCTCCTCGCTCAACCACACTGATGGGTGTTCGTAGGCGAGCTCTCTCTATCCATGATGTCCAGGATGAGCTCCCAGCTCATCTTTCCTTGCGTAATGGGATCGGCCCTCATGTCGCGGGTGTCGTACCACAGCACGTTGGTGCGCAGCTGGTCCGCTGGCCACCGCAGGCGGCCTGCCGCGCTGTTCTCCGACGGCGGCTGCACGCGGTGCGTGGCCAGCGCGGAGGAGATGGAGAGACCGTCCACAACCAGTTCGGCCGGCACGGCGTAGCCCCTTCATCCTTCGGCCTCCTGATCTCATCTGCCGAAGCGGGTCCGCGCGCCATCTCGCGGAGCGTCAGGAGGAGCGCCTGTAGGCTGTTCGCTCGGAGCCGAATGATGATCCACACAAAAGCGTCGAGTAAGTGGCAGGTATTTGTTTATCAGTGCTGCGGCACTTGCCGAAGCGCCTGCATTCGGCGCCGCGCATGCCGCGTCCTCCTCGCGCTAGAACGAGCCGCCGCTGCGCGCGCAGATCTGGCCAGCGCGCTCCATCGCCGGGAAGGCGACGCTCGTCGACATCTCGCCCGCGGCCAGAGAAACGGAGTTGAGCTGCGTCGCGCGCATGATAAGCAGCTTGCGCTTGGCCTGCTGCAGCGCGACGATGTAGACGGCCGCCCAGCGTCGCGCGCGCAGCGCGCAGGGGTGAGTGCTTCGAGCGTGGGAGACAATGAGATCCGGGAATGGACCTCTGGCCGACTCGTCGGCCTTCGACTTGGCCAGAACGACGTGCCCGATGGAGATCAGCGCGTCGATGTAGTCGCCCTGGTCGGGCGTCGCTGTGCCGTCGGCACTGCGGCGCTTGGTGGCCTCCGCAGTTTGCGAAGTCGTCGTCGCCCTCCTTCATCTAGCCGAACACGCTCTCGCTGTGGCCAATGAGTCGGTCGACGTGCTCCTTGTGTCCTGCGATCATGAGATGGTCAACGTGACTGGGCAACATGGGCACTGGTCGGGTCGCCAGCGCCGCAGGTGCCAGACGCCTCACGTTTGACCTCGAGTTCAAGTCCCCATCGGCTTGGCGCAGCACTCGGGCGCGCGCGTGGCCCTGGCGAGCGTCGTGGAGAAGGCTCTGGGCGCATCCTTGCAGCCAGTGCCTGGCTTGATGCTGCGCAGGCATTCGGCGCGCTCGAACTCGTCGCCTGGAACCTGCCGGAGGGCGGCAATTCGGCGGCAGGGTGGACTTCACTTCTCACGATGCTTCGCTCTGCCCCTGCAGCACGGCGGAAGGCGTGCCCAGCAAGCAAACCTCCGCGACGCCCGCGGCGACGCGCGCCCAGTCTGGGCGACGAGCCGCCCCTGAGAACAGGATGCGCCGGGGCGCCCGCTTCGCCGCGCCGGCGAACGCCTCCAGGGCTCCGGCGCCCATGTCGCGGAAGTCTCTCAGCGCCGTGCGGCGCCGGATGGCACTGGCCATCTTGCCGCCAAGCCCCTTGCTGCGCTTCCGCTTGAACGCGCGCCTGGAGCCCATTGCGCCCCGAGCGCCCTCGAGAAGTCGTCGCTCGGCGCGCGTGCGCGCGACCCGGGCCGCGAGCTCCTCGAGGATGGCGGCGGCCACCTCCTGGGATAGCCTCGACACCTCCCGCGGAGTAGGAGATCGGCGCCGCGCTTGATTGCCGCGGACTTGACGGCGGCAAATGCGTCAAGCAAGGCCGCGGTGGACGCGCGGGCATCATAGCTGTCCTCGCGGCAACTCAAAAATGCCACTCGTGCTCCTGGGCCCAGGTATAACTCTACGTGTCCTCCTCCATCATCCACCTCCTCCTCTAGCCTGGCGCAGGCCTTCTCCTGCATCCACCTCGTCCTCTGCCTCCTCCTTCATCCACCCAGTCGCCAAGCAAGGCGCCGCGCGGGTAGTAACGCTGCGCGTGGATGTGCCGACGCTCGTGCTTCGTCTCCAGGTGGCGCGGGCGCTCGCGTGGCCGTCGGCCTGCTGGCGGCCGCGTTCTCGACGGTAACGTAGACCATCTTCTGGTTGTCGGTGCTCTCCAGCGCCTGCAGCTCCTGGGCCAGCTGCCCCGCGCCCTCCCTATCCTGGCAAGCTTCCAACATCGCCTGTTAGACGTGGCCGAAGAAGACATTGTCGGCCTCTTCGGGCATCGCCGACAGGGCTGATGGTGAACCGCCCTCGGCGACGCAGGGGGCGTCCTCGGGTGCGTCGATCACATATCTTCGAACGCCCCACCCTGGCCCTGCCCGGCGTCGGCCGCCAGCAGCCGTTCCCCGCCCAGGACAAACCGAACGAGGCGAGCGCCCTTTCGCAGCCATCTGGGCGTCGACCTTGACGCGGTCTAAGCGAGGCGGACGGACGTCGCTCGGGCCCCGAGGGAACCGCCAGATGACCAGACTGCTGGCGCAGCCCGGCCAGTCGCTAACACATTTCTGACCGCGTACGAGACGCACGCCGCGGACGCCAGGTATCTGAAAGCATCTGCGGGACAAATGCCGCGAAACGTTGAGGACATCAGGGCGTTGCCGAGCCTGCTCGGTCAGCTGCTTGCCCCGCGCGGCCTTCCAGTGGGCAAGGTGCAGGCTCCCGTGCCTGGCGCGGCGCGCTCAAAGAAGTCCTCCTCCGCGCGATTTCAAGCCAGGCCTGCTCGCGCCATGCCGGTGCCCATGTCGTCGAAGGCGGCGCCGATGAGGGCCTGCATGTGCGTCCTGCAGTCTGCAGACCATCTCGGCGCTGCGGTACTCGGCCGGAACCTGTCCTCTTGCTGGGATCGCAGAAAAATAGAATACCAGGACCTGCCCCGCCTGGCGCGCCCTGTGCAGGGGGGCTGGCGAACCCCCACCTGATCGCCCACGTCGAAGCACCCTTCGGTCTCTGTGGCGCGTGTCTGGATGGCGCGGCTAACGCGGGCGATCGATGCAGCCTCGATCATGCGCTACGGGGCGAAATCACGGATGCGCCGCTGCAGTCGGCTGGAGCGCACCTCGCCACCAGCA